GCCCTAAAATATAATACTTTTAGACTATTCTCTCCCCCATAGACTTCAATGCCATAAACATATTTCATCCAGTTTTTCTCAGTCTTACCCCCACTTTTGAAATGGCTTGCCTCCGGAAACTCTATGAATGTGGAGAATCGACGAAAGTTATACAAGTGGTCAGGTCTACTACTAGACGACACTTAACAACAACAGCAACAACAACTATAAAACATGGGAGAGGCTAGAGAGCATTATGCTGAGTAGATTAACTCAGTCATATAAGGACAAATACTACATAAGACTATTATTGTAAAAACAGAAGGATATCTAGTAAGATACGGATAAATGAGGGTAGATAGGATGGAATAACAAAGTCACAGAGTTTGGTGGGCAGAGGGAGGTGATGAAGGAATTTGGATAGATCTAGTGGGAACCTGACAAGACAGGGGGATAGTGAGCATAGATCAATGACAATTAATTTTATAATACAGAGTGTGTGGGGAGAATTGTATGAAACACAATATGAATGAAGGAATGTGAAACAGAATGTGTATGAAAAAACAAAGTGTATGAATTTTGTATGCAAACCAATATTAAAAAAATTTTTTAAAGGAAAAAATAAGACTTCCCTGGAATTCTGGAATACTGAGAGATGTAAATAAATACTGTAATATAACTAGTTGGTATATGATAGGCTTTCCCTAAGTCACATGACTTCTAAGCCTTAACAATAATTTTTCTAGTCCTCCACTTCCGGCCTGCAGAAAACATCCCTCAACTATTGTTTTGCTTGTCCTGTAAAATACTTCAAGGAAATTGGTAATGTTTATAGTGCTCTGGTGATGCACTGGCCAGAAGCTGTACTGCAATCCTGGCCCAAAGGTACACAGAAAGATAGGCAATCTTTTCTGTGCAATTAACTGTCTCTAAAACCAGCTATGGGTTGGTTCTGACTTTATGGTACACAACAACAACAACACACTGCTGATAGATTATACTTTCTAAGAAATCTGGCTATGCCAGTTCAATAGCAGAATCATCTAGCACCCAGACTGTCCATTTCACCTCCAAAGTATATATCCCTTTTATTCCATCTGCATAAGCAAACCCCTAGTAGTCCACACTCACCAACTCTGGTCTGGATTCAGCTTGGTGCTCTGGTCTTCCAGGATGTTCTGTCCACTGAGCCAATTTCATTAAGTGCCTGGCACATAGAAGGCACTCAAGAAACATTTGTTGAATAAGCACATGAATGAACTCACTCCAACAGACTCTTTAATAAATGCTTGCCCTCCAGATAAAGCCTCAAGATAAAATCCAATGTCCTAAATGGATTCAAATCTTCAGGCACTTCTTTCATCTGACTCTTGCCCTTAAGCCTCTCTATACCTGGTCTCCAACAACCTCTACCGGCTCCTGACCCGGCTAGAGTTTATTTTCTCAGATATCAGCCTGGCAGAAGGCCTTTCTGGCCCAGGGGCCACCTCCTTGGTGAGTGTGGTTGTCTACTGAAAGCTCCTACTGACAAGACAGGAAGCTCTCTGGACAAGTGCCTATGCACCATCGCTTCCCTGTCATTAAGCACAGTACCTGGCACTACAGATCTTGTTCGCATATTAGCTGAATGTGTAAACAAACAAAACAATGATGTCTGCAGAGTCAGTGCTGTCTGCAGAGTTTTTCCTGTTCTTAAATTTTAGAACTAAAAAGACAGCTGAAATCCACTGGGTGACTCCTCCAGCCAAAATAGCTTTCTTTTACAACCTAAGAATAAAAACTATCTCTGAAAACGGAGGCATGCCTTCTGAAAATAACTCCATCAGGCGGCAGAGCGCCAAAGAAGTATTACATTTTTTATTTATTCTAGATTTAGGGAATGAAAGTGATTTCCCAGCTGGCAAAAACTCAAATCATGTCTATGTAAACTTTTGCTAATATTTCATTGATCACTGACATATTTTAATGTTTTCTTCCCTTACAGTATTCAAAAATAAATATATTTGCCAAAATATTCTTTTCAAAATATTGCCACAGTCCATTTTGCTGCCAGATCCATTATATTTCATGTTTTGTACTTGCTCCCGGTGAAATGTTTGTAATATAATTCAGTATTGCCAAGAAAGTACAGTAAAATTCTCACATAATGGTACACAAGTGCCTCAAATTCTCAATTGCAAAAGATACTGGAGGATACATTAAATTGTTAATTAAATTATCTGATGAGCCTCCTGCAGAGAATGAGTGTAGACCTTCTCATGTGGTTTCACTGCAATGTCCATTCTTGTCCTGGATTTTCACCTTTCCTTCAAACACTCACTCTCAATAGGACTTTTTTTAATCACTCAACTAACTCAATAAAGGAGTGTTGTAAGTGTAGTGGCTAAAGTGCTTAACTGCTAACCAAAACTGTTAACCACTAGCCAACTCAAAGGGGAAGATGTGACAGTCTACTGCATAAAGGCTACAGCCTTGACTGTAATAAAACTCTCACCAGACAGTTCTACTCTATCTTAAAGGCCATGATGAGTTAGAACTGTCTCTGTGGCAACAAGTCTATACAACACAGGCATGGCATAGTCTCGGGACATCCAAGATCAATATGACTTAAAAAAAAGCTCTTTGCGGCAAGAAGCTGTGCTGCAATCCCAAAGGCACACGGTTTAAATCCACCAGATGCTCTACTGAAGAAAGAGGGGCAATCTACTCCTGTCCCAGTTGGATCTGATTTGATGGTACACAACAAGGGGGGAAAAAAATCTCATTGAGAAGGACATGAACATAGTTGTAGCACATAGCTTATGTTCTAGAATATAATCTGAAAAAAATAACAACAAAAAAATCCCCACAAAAACCTTTAAACTCATTGCTGTGGAGTTGGGACAGAATCATAACTGACCCTCCAGCATGCTCAGAGCCAATCATGAGAGGAGACTGCCCATCTTCCTCCTGTGGAGCCATTGACCGAGACAGTTGGGGTTAGCAGAGCAACTCCCTGTGAATTCATCCACCAGGCTCTCCCACTCAACCCACCTCTTACCAGCTCTCTTACCAGCAGGCAGAGATTTAGCTGTATTTGCATATTCAAGGATTTGTGAAACCCTAAAGATAGTAGCTAGCACCAATCTAGAAACTACACAGCAGAATAGTTATGATCATGGGGCTGGTAGTTAGATAAAACTGAGTTTCAGTACAGGTTCTAGTGACTTCTAGGAATTTATCTAACCTCTACGAGCTTCAGTTCCTTCAATTGAAGAATGGGCTTGTTAATCACGTTGACCTCACAGGGTCCCTTAGATGATTAAATGGGCTGATATCTACTCTTGATGAGCCCTCAGTAAGCAGCAGTTATCCTTACTATGTTACTAACAGTTGTTACTCTGAGATCACTTAATGCAGGAAGAGGCCCAGATGAAATCCACTGAGCACAGAGCCAGGTTTTCTTCCCTTTCCATGTTTCACTGTGGCACCATTCAGTGGTCCCTCTCCTTTTCTTCTATAGTTAATACAGAGATTCAAGCACGGGCTGCGCTTTAAGCCTTGCCTGCTCTTTCATCAAAGTTCCCACTGCTTCCCTGCTCCATCTAACAAAACAAAGAGCCTCCTGGTCAGAAGGAGCTCCTTGATGTTCTCTGACCCTCACTTTCAAAATAAAACTTGTCTGGGCATTTACTGCATGAGGGATTGGGCAAACAAATAGCAATTTAAAGTAGAGTTCAAAGGGCAGGCATGTGAAGTAAAACCTTTCACGGCCACCTTCGGCTGCGCACTCCTGTCCTGGTTTACAGCAGTACAGCAAAAACGAACAGATTACCTCCAAATTGAATTTAAAGGTAATTGTCATGTTGTATCTGCTGTTGCTTTTCATTCAGGTCCGCAGTGTGACCTGCATTTCATTATGTCTGCTCCTCATCTAAAAAGATATGTTGATAGACGTTTCAGTGTGGCATAAGAAATAGCAGAATTAAAGATTTTTATTTATTTTTTTTTTAGAGTGGAAAAACAACATTTTGGATCAAAATGTCCTCTGCCTGCTGCTTTTCTAGGTTCTTAAGGATGCTTTGTAGAAGACAAGAGAAAGCAAGAGCAGACAATCCTTACCAGGAATTCTTCGGTCCCAAATTCCAAAATCCTTTCTACAAGTATTTAATTAATACTGTGGGTGCCTATTATATGTCCATTATACTGATAGTACAATGTTACCTCTAACACAAACATGGCATATGTCCTCACAGAGACTGAGTCATAGTGGGGGGAAAAAACAAAACCAAAACTAAAACTCTCTGTGACATGAAGGGCTGGAGGGAAGAAGGAGGACAATGTGGGGAGCGTTCTGAGCAGAAATGCTTTTGTCCTTATCAGGAAAGGGCAAAATGAACATAAAAAAACAGGTAAATGGGCAGAGTGCCCAGAACAGAGAGGGAAGTAAGGTGTGTCTGGAAGGGTCAACAGTGGCCAACATTTCAATAGAACAAGGTATTTGGCTTTATCCTAAGCAATGAAAGGCCATTAAAGTAAGGAGTGGGGAAGATTGTCAAAGATAGTATAAAACTAGATTTGTGTTTCAAAAATATTTTCAAGGATGAGGTCAGATAATAGACGCGAGTCTGCTCTGTGAGAAGACCTGCAAGAGCTGATTTCTCAGATTCAAGTTATTGGTGTTGCAGTAGAGGTAAAACCAAGTAGAGGGAGGGAGGCTGAGAGAGGATTCTAGAGAAGTTGTCAAGAACCAGGTGGATTCAAGAAATGAGAAAGATGACCTAATAGAAGTGTGGTCCTTCTCTTAAGACTCACTCACACTCAACATCAAGCCATGAACTTCCAAGATGGGGACATCTCTCAAGTGCAAGGGAACCTTATGCTAATGTTGCCATGTCCATAATTTCATGGAAATTAAAGTGAGTCCCACAGAAATCTTTAAATCCCCTCAAAAAACAGCATACAGAGGAGAGGGTGATCAACACAACAAAACAACCCCAAGCTCTTCATTTCTTAAGAAATTCATGCTTTTAAGTTCTTAAAACCATCAAAATTGCTTCCTCCATCCCCACCTCCTGCACTATGAACTAACAGACATGGTTTCCATGGTGGGGCACACACCCCTCTGGGGTCTATAGCGGGGGAAACACGAGAACTTGTATTTACATTTATTTTTATCTAAAAACAAGGTAGAAATTAAGCTGCAATACTATTTTAGAAAGAAATTGGTACACTAACTTAGCACACTAGTTGACACTGGTGCCCTCACTAGACCAGGAGGTGGTAACTGGACAAATGCAGGACTTAAGGACGTCAGGAATAGTGTGAATGTTCAGGGATAACTCTCTGGGATTGATGGCGATGCGCCCACTTGCTTACTCATTTTCAGCATAATGTGTTACTTGTGCCAGGTGGGTCAAGGTGCGTGTTACAAAGGATACTACTTCATTTAAGCCAAGACAAAACCTTAAAAACAGCTGTGTGCCTTTCTTTCCTTCAAGGAAAGTATAGGTTGAAAATAACACTGAAAATAGAATTATAAGTAAACATATAAATGAAAGGCAAGCTCCAAAAACAAACTAACTGCCTTGGGGTTAAGTCTAACCTATGGAAATGCTCCATCAGGCTTCTGAGGCTACACATCTTTTTTTTTTTTTTAGGCTACACATCTACACATCTTAACCAGAGCAGACTGCCTCATTGTTCTCCCTCAGGGTGGTTGGTGGGTTCAAACTGCTGACCTTTTGGGTTTCAGCCCAATACTTAACCTACTAAGCCACCAAGGTTTCATAAGGTACGGGCCCTGAGCTTGCTTTGTATTTATTTCTCTTATCTCTCCACTTCTAAAACTGTCCATAAGTGACGGTGCAATATTAAATCCATAAACAACAGCTCTCAAAAGAAATTAGTAACCCATTCTTCCACCTTTGATGCTGGGGCTGGCATTGCCCTGAACGACCACTTTGTCAAACTCATTTACTGGTATGACAATGAATTTGGCTACAGCAACCGGGTGGTCGACCTGATGGTTCACATGGCCTCCAAAGAATAAGATCCCCTTGGACCACCAGCCCCAGCAATAGCACTAGAAGAGAGAGAGAGAGACCCTCAGCTGCTGGGGAGTCCTTGCCCCAACTTGATCCTCCCACACACTGAGAATCTCACACCCTTGACACAAGTTTCCATCAAATCCCCCTGAGAAAGGGGAGGGCCTTGGCGAGCCCATCTTGTCATGTACCATCAATAAAGTACACTGTACTCAGCCAAAAGAAAAAAAGAAAAGAAAAAAAAAGAAATCAGTAAATAAGTTTAAAATAGGCTCAAGATCAGTTTTAAGCCCTAAAACTTAAAGACAAATATCCCTGAAGTCTTCTTAAAACCCAACAATACCTTAAAATAATCAGGAAAGAACGTCTTCCTTGAGCACTTGCGTGCTTCTAAGATCGGCCCATATGGGATCAAATTGACAAGAGCATCTCAAAATACTAGATGGGAAACTTAGCTGCAAGTGAGTAAATGTTATTGGGGAGGAATAACTCAGAAAAAGAGGATGCAAATGATTGGACAACTCCAAGAATGTAATCAACGTTACTAAATTATACACGGAGGAATAGTTGCATTGGTATGTGTTTTGCTGTGTGTGTTCTCAATTTTGTCATATGCCATTGAGTCAAAATCAACTCGTAGCTGACCTTCCAGTTGGTTTTCAGAGGAAGTTTAATCACACGGCAAGAGATTTCCTATCCTTCTCCCATGAAGTAGCTGGCGAGTGACAATAACAAAAATAAAATACGTCATGAAAATTTTAAATTATGAGTCCTTGCAGGATGGACTTTACAACCTCTATTGTTAATGTATCACTAAATGCAACAAACCTTACATTTCCACATCTTTAACATCTAGACATGAAAAGTATTTATAGTCAAACTATTTTACTTACGGCCTACACAACCCAAACCATCTGGAGGCCACCACTGCCGGCCAGCTTGGGTGGGGTTCTGAGGCCGCTAGGACACACCTGTGTATACTGGTTATGGGGGAACCTGCTTTCCGTCTCTGGCAAAGGCCCATCAGTCTGGTCTCTGTTTCCATAGGTTTCTTCTTTGTTCATCAGAGATTGTTCCTCAGCCTCCTCTTCCTTCTGCAGAATTTTCCTCATGAAGTCTCTCTTATCCATTGGGGTGCGAATGATTTTCAGATTATTCGTGTAGATGATTATCTTCCCAAAATCTATGATGGGTGGGGGCTAGAGAAATAGAAATTGAGCATGAAACCTTTGCTACCAATCACCAAAGCAGAATCTGTTTGCTTAATATCCCAGTAAACAGGCAAGCAAGGAACTTCTATCATCCAGAACCCGTGAGCTCATGACACCTCACGGCTACAGTTCATTGTATGATTTGTTCCCTCGCTCTGAAAGACAAAAAGCCAGTTTCCTTCTCCCTGTTGATGGCAAGCAACTAAAACTGAACTCAGCATGTAGATAGAGTGTAGAAATTTAGAGGATAAGGTTCAGATTTCTTAGTCTAGTGGTAAGGAGCTATGTTGCCAACCTTAAGGAACAAGGTTCAAATCCACCAGTTGCTCTCCGAGAAAGGACAGTCTCCTCCCACACAGTTTATTGCCTCTGAAAACCCACTGGAGGATTGGCTATGGTTGGTTCTGACTCGATGATTCATTCATAGCAATATACCATATAAGCTGATCTAGGACTAGACCCATTGAATGTTTCATAAATGCAAAGCAAACCCTTTTGTTGTAAATACCTCTGCAAAACAATTTCTGTGCATAAGCATAATGTCTTAGCACCAGATCTATATTACAAATAGTGCTCGAAAAATTCACTACTATTAGTTAGGGAGCCTTATTGCCATTTTATTGTTGTCAAGTCAGAATAGACTCAGAGCTGACATCCCTTTGCATCTCCAAGGCTGTAAATTGAGTTGATTGTAAATTGGAGAAGATTGCTTCTCTTTCTCCACTTTGATGGCTTCTAACCACCAGAAAGGCATAGCCTTTAGGTTAACAGTCAGCTCCCAAGAGACTATGCCACCACGGCTCCCTGACTAATACCAGCAAATCTTTTGAGCACTATTTGTGTGTTAGATGTGGTGCTAAGTATTTTACAAACATGAATTCACTGAATTCCTACAAAAACCCTAGAGACTGGTGTTGGTTTTTTTAATCATATAAAAATATTTTTTGCCTTTTATTAGTTAAAATGCCTAATTAAATGGTTTCTATCTGTTGGATAATTTACTGCTGTTGTTAGGTGCCACAGAGCCAAAGTCCGATTCATACTGACCCTACGAACAACAGATCTAAACCCTGTCCCGATCTGTGCCATCCTCACCATTGACACACTTGTACCCATTTCTGTAGTCACTGTGTCAACCCATCTTTTTAAAGGTCATTCTCTTTGTCATTGACCCTCTACATGTCCAAGCACAATATCCTTTTCCAAGGAATAGCCCTTCCTAACAACATGTTCAAAGTATGTGATATGAAATTCACCACCATCCCAACATTTAAGAAGCACTCTGAAGGCACTCTTTCTAAGACATATCTGTTTGTTCTTTTGGCAGTCCATGGGATATTCAGTGAAAGGGTGCCAAAGTAAGAGAGATGAACAGAAGATTTCAAAAGGCAGCTCAAGAAGACAAAGCAAAACATTATAATAGAGTGTGCTGATTCAGACCATGAGCTCCCTGTTTAAACTTGTTCTTATAATGGAGTGTACCTGATTCAGACTACGGTCTTCTCAGTCATTTGCTCTGCATCTGAGAGCTGGACAATGAAATGAGATCACAGAAGAAGAATTGATGTCTTTGAGTTGTGGTCCTGGAGAAGAATACTGAGTCTGGTGCTCTTGATTTTAACTCCCAGAGCCCCCATGTGACAGAGTAGAATGTTTTCTAGATTATAATTTTATGGGAGTAGATCACCAGGTCTTTTTTTCCATGGATCCTCTGAATAGACTAAGCTGCAGATTTCTCCGTTAGCACCTTCGGGCTTAACGGTTTCACCAGCAAGATAAGAAACTGTCCCCATGGGGTTAAGTGCTTGATCAAGTAATTAAATTTATTTCTTATTTGTGGCTGAGATGTGAACCCAAGTCTGTCTCATTCTAACGACAAAATTCTTAACATATTCCCTTTAGTTAGTGCTTGACTACTAACAGAAAGAGGGTGGTCCAGGCCTACTGAGTGGTATCCCAGCAGAAAGCCCTGATGAGCCTCTTCTGAAGGTGGCAACCATGGTTCACATTCAGCTTGACAAACAGGCATCAGCATGAGCACAATTGACTCAAACACAACTGATTTTACCCTGAACTATCACAAACTTTTCTTTTTTTCCTCCAAAAACATATAGGATTGCAAAGAACAAAAGTCTTTTTAATGTTGTTGATTGCCTTGATTCGAGCACAACTCCTCATGACCCTATGAACAAAAGGCCTGACGCCCCTCTACAACTATCGACATTTATCAAAGTTCACTGAGTTTCAGTAAGCATGTTATTTAGGAAGTGGATGCCACTCCTGCTTCCCAATCTGTCATAGCATGTTGTACTTGTTAAGTGCCATTGGGCTGCCTGCAATGTATAGCGACCGTGCGTACTGCAGCTCTGAACCCTTCCCTGCCCTGAGCCAGTCTCACTAACTCCGACACACCAGTCCCCGTTGCCTCAGTTACTGTATCAATCCATCTCATCCAGGGTTTCCCTCTCCTGCGCTGTCTGTCCACCCTTCTGAGCACGATGTCCTTCTCCAAGGACTGGTCTCTCCTGGCCATATGCCCCAAGTAAGTGAGGCAGAGCTTCAAGATCCTAGCCAAAAAGGAGAGCCTTGGTTTCACCCTCTCCAAGAAGGACCTATTTGTTTTCTTGGCAGTCCATGGTATGTTCAAGACTCTTCTCCAGCACTATAGCTCAAAGAAATCTATTCTTCTTCTTTCATGCTTAGTCATTGTCCAACTCTTTGAAACATAACAAGTAATTGGGAAGACTATGGCCTGGATTAGGTGCACCTTTGAATCTAGACTGCCATCATTGCTCTTCAGCACTCTGTAGAGGTCTCTGACAACAGATTTTCCCAATGCAATTCGTCTTTTGATTTCCTGACTGCTGGTGTTAAGAGTGTTGATTGTGGATCCAAGCTAGCTATAAATGCTAAAAATCTCAATCTCTTCTTCATCTAATATGTGCTGCCAATTGTCCCAGGGGTGAGAATCTTTGTCTTATTCATGTTGAGCTTCAATCCATATTGAAGGCTACAATCCTTGACCTTTTGCAGCAAGTGTTTCAGGTCTTCTTCAGTTTCAGCAAACAAGGTTGTGTCATCTGCATATCGTCTATTGTTGATGAGTCTCCCTCCATCTTGATGCCACACTCCTGCTCATAAAGCCCTGCTTCTCAAATGATCTGTTGTACAAACAGATTGAAAAGGTACTGGGACAGGATGCATTCCTGACACACTACTTTCCTGATTTTGAACCATGCAGTGTTTCCTTGCTCTGTCCTGAGGAATGCATATTGGTCCAAGTATATATAGCTTTCTTATAAGCCCAATCAAGTGTTCTGAAATTCCCATTTTCCTCAAGGTTAGCTACAATTTATTGTGATCCACACAGGCAAAAGCCTTTGCATAGTCAATGAAACACAGATAGGCATTCTTCTGGTACTCTGCTTTCTGCCAAGATCCATCTGACATTGGCAATAATGTCTCTAGTTTATTTACAAAACTTGAATACAAATTTGATCAAATTCTTTCAATTTCCTTCACCCCCCCACCCACAAAATTGTACAACCCAATGATTAATCTCCCCCTCCCCCCGCACATCCACATCCCCTCTGATTCCAGCCTCTCCCACCCTTTCTGGATCCTTATACTCATTCTACAATAATGGTTTTATATAATATTTATCCTTGTGGGACTGAGTTCACTCAGCATAATGCTCTCCAGTCCCTCCCAAGTTAGGTAATAATTTACAAAGTTATTGCTCCTGTGTACTGCATAGTATTCCATTGTGTGAATGTACCATAATTTCTAGTAGAAAAAAAAATAAAAGCAGTAAGAAAGAATAAAACAGAAGAGAGAAAAAAATGTCCTTAGTGCCACGACCTCTTCTAAACCCAGCCTGTATTTCTCTGTAGCTCTTTGTCAGTGTGCTGTTCAAGTCTTCTCTGGATAATCATCAGCAGGATTTTGATAATGTGTGATATTAGTGATATTTTTCAATAATTTCCACACTCTGTTGGGTCACATTTTTTTTGGAATGGGAATAACTATGGATCTCTTCCAATCAGTTGATCAAGTAGTTGTCCCCCAGATTTCTTGGCACAACTTGGTGAGCACATGCAGGGCAGCATCTGTTTGCTGAAATATGTCAATTGGTATTCCATCAATTCCTGGGGCTTTATTTTTTGCCAACTCCTTCAGAGTAGCCTGAACTTCCCCCTTCATCATCATCATTACCTCTTGATTATATGTTGTTTCTTGAAATTCTTCTGTGTCAGCCAATTCTTTTTGGTACAATGACTCTGTATACTCCTTCCATATGTTTTTTTTTAATACTTCTGGAATAAGTCAGTATTCGGCCCATAGCATCTTTAAGTATTGCGACAAGTGGCTTGAATTTATTCTTTAGTTATTTCAGCTTAAAAAATGCTGAGCGACTACACCCCTTTTGATTTTCTGATTCCAGCTTGTTACACATTTCATTATAATATTTTGCCTTGCCTTTCTCAGTAGTACTTTGAAATCTATTCAGTTCCTTAAACTCTTGATTTCGTCCCTTTGCTTTTGCGTCTTAAAGCTCTAGAGCAGTATTCAGAGTCTCTTCTGGCATCCATTTTGGTCTTTTCTTCTTCTTCTTCCATCTTAGTACTGAGTTTTTGCATTCTCCATGAACGATATTCTTGATATCTTCCCATAGCTTATCTGGTCTTCTTTTATTAGTGTTCAAGGCCTCAAACCTATTCCTGGGTTGGTTTTTAAATTCATGAAAGATAGACTCAAGGTCAAATTTTGATTCCTGTGTATATGATTTAACCGTCTTTTATTTTAATTTGAACAGTTGATGGTCTGTTACACAGTCAGCATCTGGCCTAGTTTTACTGCTGATAGCAAACTTCTCCTTCCATAAATGTAATTAATCTGATTACTGTACATCCCATTGGGTGAAGTCCATGTGTATAGCCTGCATTAAAAATTATTATACATACTTAAAATTATGTGAGGGATATATA